TTTTTACACAATTTCGCTAAAAAAACATTAAAAAAATTAAAGTTCTTGAATGATAGACCTAATAAACGTTGTTAAGTTATTCGTTCTTGAATATTTAATCAGAAAAACGTTTTACAGTAATATGTTCTGATTTTTGAATTGCTATATGTTAACTTTTGTAAGACGGAGACAATGAGGGCAGGCCCAAAATAAAATAATATTTTGTTAAATTATACCATTTATATCTACATAAATAAATAATTAGAGAATACAAATACATTTAAGAACAGTTTTCAAACTAAAATTATATATTTGGATCTGAAACTTAATTATTAGCATGCATATAATTCCATGTGAGTTATGTTGTATGCCATATAAGTACTGTAGTATCTTATAATTACGATAAACTATTTACATGGTTTATTCTCTTCAATGTTTCGTGCATTATTATTTATTGATTATTATTAGTTTACAGTAAACATTGAATATTATTTACTTAGGGCGGCATTTATTTATTATTATTTTTACTAATTAATGTATTATGTTACTATAGTATTACTCATAATAAATTATTACCTATATTATCGTCATATTATATCATCTTATATTGTCAAAAATAAATGATCGGCTCTTGGATTTGTTTAATTTATTTAATTTATTTAATTTACTGGTGTGCCTCAAAAATTCACAACCTCAAAAAATATAAAAATATAATTGATAAAAATTCGTTAGTGAGTCAAGTACACATTTCTAATGAAACGTATATAATTATAAATAGTATAATCCATAACAATTTTGTTCATCTAACTATTTAGTATTTAGTGCAAAAAAAAAAAGTGGCAGTGTGTCGTGAACATTTTTTGAATAGCATGGTGTGCCATGTTTAATAAAAGTTTGAAAACCTCTGCAATAGACCTATACTTATTAAATTGTGATAAAAAAAATAATAATTTAGGTCGCACGTCTGTTGGAGCCGATTCGATTTTATAATATACCAACGTTACATTTACTAGTTACATATTTGCTAAATTATAATTGTACTACTATAATGTAAAAATAAACATTATTGGTACACCTTCAAAAATATTTTAAACGCTGACAAATATAAACATTTATCGTGGCCGTCTATAGTGGTAATGGTAGTTGCGATTTAGCTAAACTGGTTATAGCAAACGGTGGTTTGATAGAAATTCTGAAGTAAGTATTTTACTTACCCAACAGCGCAGTTTAAGTACTTTCGATAATAAATTCTTATATTATGTGTATAATTTCTATGGATAATAGCAATGTCAAGTTTAAAGGTCAAAGTAAAAATAATATAGATAATAAAGTGAAATAAATAAATATTTTAATAATAATTTTTTATCAGTATTTGTTCTCAATTAATACCTATTGACAAATCTGTTAGGTAGAAATACTATAATAATATAATGATAATACTTAAATTTAAATATTTTAAGGTTGAGGTAGGTACTATATATCAAATGTTATATCTATTTAAATTTAAATACAAATACAAAATAAATATTTCTATATTTTGTAGTATGTTTTTAGGACTTATACATAGCAATAGAATATTGTGGCGTGGAAAGCCTCAACGTCGTACATTGGAAATTATGAAAACTGTGCACTTATCGACCATGAGAATTAAGATAATATTTGTCATTGTAATTTATTTTACTCGTGATTGAAGATATGTATGACACACGAGAACACAAAATATATATTTTAGCTAGGTTCTTAGAGTAAGTATAATTTGAAAATGCCGACTTGAAATTATAATTTTTCTTCACGTACACAACTTGCGTAGGCAGTTTTAAAATTTTAAATAAGGTTCCATGTAAGTACTCGTAGTTCAAAGTTTAAACTGTAACCAAACAAATATTTAAACACGGTCTTTTTCGTAGTTCTTTTAAATTCAAGTTTGGACAAAATTAGATATTTAAACAACGAAGAACATAGTTAGAGTCACTTTTTGACCTTCAAAGTAATATTTGAATAAGAAAAATGTTGACATTTTTATACCCATAAAATGTTTGTAATTTCGATATCGAGAAGTTTTTATGCGCTATGAAATACCACAATTAATATTATAAATACAAATAATATCAGTTTTTTTTATATGATAAAATTAGTATAGAAATTATACATATGGTATAGTTTATCATCGCTATATTGTAAAATTTTATCAGTACAACTAATAGTTGTAAAGATAACAAATTAATACTAGTTATAGCTATATTCGTATTATGTTTAATAACGTACGGTTTTAATCAGTTCTTTCACTGACCTTTACACCAATATTAATGTATAATATAATATCTCAAATAACTATAATACACGGTGTATAAAGTCGTTAAATGTTTCGGCTAGATGCTCATATTTGTTCATTATTTTATTAGGAATGATGTGATTAATAATTATAAGAAATTTAAATAGTAAACGAAATTGTTAGGTTATCGCTATTATTATTAATCTACTGATTCTCTGCTTAAATAGTTTAATGAAAGTTAAAAGAAGAACAGGATAGTACTCATGGTTAGAGAAATGATAATTTTAAATAGTGACAGCCCTGCTCCGTAATTACATAATAATATTATATCAAATGAAGAAGACAATTTGTTTATGGTCCTATAATATTCCCATTAAAATGACGTTGTCGGGGCCGAAGATAATATAAAATGATTAAAAAATCCGTACTTAGGTATAAATTGTAGTTATTGAAATCTAATGAATAAGTACGTAGTGTACAATAGTCAATAATAACTAATAACAATACGTAATTCATCGAACGGCGTGTACTGTCCGTTAGCTAGGACGCTACTAACAATAAAGTTTACGCACAGGGCAACAAAGTCTCCCAAGTGAAGTTTGATCTTTATTATACCAGTCTACGCCATAGGCGCAATTTGGGTTACATTTATGGGGGTTCTAGATTTATGTCGACTAAAGTGATCAGTAGGGTCTTAGACCTCCCCCCCCCATTCATACATCTTAATTGTATACACCTTCGCATTAATTTTAATATAAACAATTACCCATGAAAAAAATAGACTACACTTTTATCTATATTACTATTCTGATAGGTACATATTATAATGTATAATTATGAATATAAAAATAAGGTCTTGGAAATAAATGTATCAGATGTATCATAATATTATAGTAAATAAAAATTCGATGATGCTATCAAGAATTTGGGTTTGCTAATATGAATTTTGGTAGTGCCTAGCACCCCTAAGCACCCACCCCTTCCTCAAAATTGCGTCTATGAGTCTACCTGCCTGTAGTGATTATGTTACCTATTATTTATTAAATCCGAAATAGTATCGACTCCAATAGACTCAAATCGACTCCTACTGTTAAATTCACAAAATTATATTGTTATTTGTGCAAAAGTAATTATGACTTTCAACACAAACAAATTGTTCCAATAATCCAACAACTTTGCAAAAGCTACATATAATTTTTTTTACAGTTACAACGTGTTTGGTAAAATCTACAAACTGAATGACTGTCTACAACAGAACAGTTATGTTATCATTACCAATGTTGATTTACATAAAATATGTTGTAACTATTGCAAAACATATTGTTGTCACGGACGCAACCATAATTTTTTGTGATGTCTATCATATTCTGGTTATCATTACTATATATTTTTTTCCGTGATAGTTTCTTTTTTTCAACACAATTTAATAAGTATAGGCCTATTATAATTGTGTATCAAATTGCGTAAAAATCCGTAAAAAATACATATATTTAATTTACATATATATATTTTAACACTTTTCTAAATTATAATAAGGTTTTATTAATTTTATTGTAAGAACAATTTATTAGGAGTGTTGAGTCAGAAAATTTATACTACTAGGTTAATATTTTATTACCATGTACAAAAAAAAAACCAAACTAAATAATTATTACTCTTTCTTAAATCAAAACATACCTACATGAATTAACACTAAAAAATAATTAGTTAAACCAAAAATAGTAAAATATAGATCGCATACATACAAAATATAACCAAACACCAATATTCACCTCAAGTGTATAAAACACCAAAACTATGAAGCCAAAAGAGATATACATAATTATAAAATATATAATAAAATAGTATAATACTTATTGTATACACGCACGTTTAGTGTTTTTTTCTGGCTTTCACTAGCCAGAACGTTCAAGTTCTATTAACATGGCACCCTATAATATTTTTATCAGAATTTTAAAAAATAAACTTAAAACATTTTACAACAGTCAAAATATTTATTCGAAGAAAAAAATTATAACAATTAATTATTAAAATTTACAATATGTGGTTTTACTGTAGATAATTGTACACTAATTGTATACGTGTTTATTTAGTAGCATTGTTTGACTATTACAAATAAGAATTATAAAAAATAAAGAAAAAAAATAAAGAAAAATTTTCAGTTACATATTAGGTAAAATGTATAATGTGTTTTTATTAATATAAACATAATTAGTATATTAAAATTGTTATATTATGTCTGAAAATAAAAATAAAAATGTATTATTTTGATACATTATAAATATAGACTGTGCATTATTTTATTTTATTTTTCATGTTGATTGGGGCCAGCATAAGGCAGTGAAGTCTCCATCACAATACAGCCATCATCTATTGTATGTAGGTACTAAAAAAATATTATATAATATTATAATATTATACAAATAAAGGTTCTAGGTCGAATATTAAAAAAAGAAAAACCCCGACACTGTATACGGTCAAGTAAAAATTTGGAATTTAAAACGTGGACACTTTGTATTATTAATAAACGTCTTTAATTTACTTTTAAATATAAAATAAATAAAATAATGTTTGAATCACATCAAACTTTAAATCATTCATATATAGGCACTTATATGTATACTTATACATTTACTGAATGTATAATTTATAATATAATAGTACAAAATGTCCTCGTTATGCATTTCAAACAACGAACTGTACAAACTGACCGTTTACCATAAATAAAATCAAGTTAAATTATATTTACCTATTGAACTCTGAAACATAGAATGTACCTCTCGTAAAAATCGAGGACCACTCCCGGAAACTTTTCATATGCGACTGTATCTCTCACGTATGAAAGTTCTTGGACATCCCTCCACTTCACGAGAAAGTGTAGCGAGTCTCCTATTTCTTTTTTGTAGTGTATAGCTTCTGCAACTAGATCGTCACCGATTTGATCTTGTATGGGGTATTTCGTATCAGGAGCACTGGGTATAGCTACTCCGACAACGGCCTGTTCGTATAAAAATTAATCTAATTAATGTAAGCCATCGCAGCAGTTACAATAATAACCGTTACAATAATATAATATAATATTTGAAACGTATCGATAACATAAAACGAACAATTTACTCACTTCGTAAGTCATGGGGCAACGACCAGAGGGCAACGACGAATAAATCATGGCTTATATATGACGTATATTACTGCAAGTCTGATTTTTGATGTGGCAACTACGCTGGTGTCTGCACTGGTACTGGTACTGAGTTCGTAGCGGGCGACTACCGAATACTCCGTCTCTGATTCGGGTAACAGCCACGTATACCGCTACCACGTCCTGAGCGCTGCTGTCGTTGTGTATTGCGGCAGTTCACGGCTTGCCGTATTTAAGGAGGGGGTGGTGGGCGATACCCTACCCCGGGCAAATGTCGGGCGGCTATAGAAGGAGTAAAACGATTTTTTCGAACATGCAGAGGACAATTATTTTGTTATGAGCCGTTCTCATAAATATCATATAAATAAATGTGTGTAATATTGGTTCTTAATCTACCACCTGTCTAAATATTATCCGAATGTGCAAAAGAGCATAATAAATGTATTATAAGACTATAATGAAATAACACGATTCGGTCTTCCGTATGGTAGTTTGTTATAATATATAATTTATGATCATATATTTAGTTATCATGAGACAGTTGTTTTTGATTTTTTGTGGATAATAAATATTGTGTAAAAATAGTGAAATAGGAAAAATCAATCGGGGGAGCCAAAATTTTGTTGTCCGTATGGTCGGCAAAATATTAAATACGGCCCTTGTCGGTGGTATTATTCATAAATAATTTAAATAAATAATTATTTCACTCAAATATATCCAGATAACCCTGCAATACATGTACAGTAGATTTTTATACGAAATTTAAAGTAGATGCAGAGTGGAGACAGTACGTACCATTTCGTCATTATTTATGGAAATTATAACAATTCGTTAATAAATAGTTAGCCTAATAATTTTAAGGTCAATATGTTCGAGAATCAAAATTTCCAGAAATGTTTTTTACAGTTTTTTTTTCCTTTCCGGCAATGCAAGTTAATGCCGATTAGCGCCTTTTTCACAGTTAAAATCTATATTATAGCCCTACAGGTGTAACATATTATCCATAAACCTGGAAAACAGCGAGTTCTTAGTTTGAACAAATATCTCTATTATAGAAAAAAAATTCATAAAAATTGTTCCTCAAGTCACTAATATATATTTTCTACATATTAGATACCTACCTATATTATATTGATGTTATTGTTATAAAATATATGAATATAATTACTGTTATGAATTTATTGTTTATGCATTTTTGTATCCCTCTCCTAAAGCAGCCTAGAATACATAAAGAAATTTATTCATAATATAGGTACCTATTATACTCACATATTACGCTATGTATGGTTTTCTATTACCTACTTGAGTTTATTATTAAATAATAAAATAGGATTTTTTTCGAATATATTATTATATCGTTTTTAATAGTCACATACTTATGCTAGTATTATTTTTTGAATTATTTCTACATACAAATAGCTGTCATTAAATACACATCATCATACAATACTTAAAATTAATTAAACATTTTAAAAAAGAAAGTCTTATAGACTAAACAGGCTAAGGCAGGTATTAACGAATTAACATTTTATACTTCTGAAAACTGAAAAACTGGGCCGAAACCGAAAGCTTACATTTTTGAAAACCAAAACCGATGAAAGGTTTCAGTCCCTGATAGGGACAGCGGTTTATCAATAAATGTTGGTTAACGAATAATAAGGTATAATATTGATGCGATATAATTATATAATTAATGCCCTTTAAAGTAGATTTAACTACCGTGGTTTGATCCTTAAGTATGTGTAACATGCGTTCGTTAGTTTTTCTATTATACCTATTTCTTCCACCGATTATTTGCACATTCCTCGTCACATACCCCGAATAGTGTTTTCATAGCCGAACCTACGAAATTTATTAGACCCCGTCTTTTCCTACTTGGAAATGTCGTTGCTTCCGATTGTTCGGCGTATCTACCTATCGATTCATACATTTTTTCACGTTGTAATGAAATTTCCTGAAACATTACTTTAAAAATATTGTCTAGCCTAGAACACATTTCTAATGCTGTCACGCTGTTCTTACAAAGATTAGTTATTACACTTATTTCCATTTGTAATTTGTCGTGCCTAAGGTCGTAATTTTTTAATGGTATAAATACGTGATCAGTTGCCAGGTGGCCCCTGTCAATCGTACTGTACCATAATTTTCATAATACATCAATGTTTGGTTTCGAAATTCTTCCACTTTATATGGAATCTGACCGTGTCCTGCCGTAATTAGAGATAACCTAAAACAATATATATATGCACATTAGTCTCAAATTTATGTTTTTGAAATAATTTCTAATATATATATTATTTTCGTATTATCTCCCCGGCTTTGGTCACTATATACAATCTTACGCATATATATATATTTCTCCTTTCTCCACAGCTGAATGCTACTGTCGTTATGCGTTTGAAATGTACTAATTAATCTATAAGTCCATTGTCAGTGAGTCCCGGTGGTTGCTTGTTCGTTCAGAATATGGTGGCAACTCCCACCGTTCCCGCACTGCCAACTATCAAGACTAACTAGTACCATCTCTATACATTATAATTTTTTTTCACATATCTAAAATATTTCTTATATCCTATTTACTTTTTTTTTTCTCTATACTACCAGTCTTCATCATTATCCCTAACTACGTATCTATCCTCTACTTCATTAAAAATACTTTCTATTACATCTAAATCATCCCTAACACTAAGTAAACCCATAACACCTTCTCCATAACTGTTGATATGTATATTTCTATAAATGTCATTATTAGTTATTACTATCGCTATCACTAATTTCTTCCACTTCATCCATATTACTAATTGTACTATTCGTTGCTATGTTCCTTAAATTATCACTATCACTATCACTATCCGACCACCACAGACCAGCTGCTTCAGTCATATTCCTATTAATAGTGTTTGCTACTACATCGCTAATACTATTATTATTACTAAGTAAAGTATTTCTATTTCTAATGCTAGGTGTTTGTGTCCTATTATTAACTATGTCTCTACTAATACTATTGTTATTACGAATATTATTATTACCACTAACTTTACTTTCGATATTATTACTATGCCTTAGCCTATTCAACCTATAACTATTAATATTCATATAATTTGTCCATGCTTCTTTATTTATTCGTTTATTTAATTCCCAAAATTCAGTAATAACCCTATTCGCCAGTGTTATGTTGGTATTTAGTAGTTCTTAATTTTCGTTTCCAGTGAGTGCAGGTGGTTCAGTGCGGTTGTATATTATGCTTGCTACGCCTACGGGCTTAGCTAAGTCTATTCCTGGTATTCGATTGACGTCCAGGTGGTAACGAAATGGTATTGTTGATACATTGCACGCGTATGGGTTTCGGAACCAACTCCATAACCCTTGACATAATTCTACTATTTCTGGTTGTGGAAACCTACCAGGAAGGATGTTACCCCGATCTCTATAGTAAACATCAATTAACGTCCTAAGGTTATGTGTAACTTGTCCCACAGGTTCTTCCCCTGTATAGCGAAATATTTCTACTTCGGATATTATGTAATTATCATTTTTTTTCAATACCATTACCACCAGACGATCTCCCGCCTGCACACTCATAATCATTTCAAATTCCGGGTCTTCATTTGTATTGTCGCCGATTAATTGTCTCCTTAATTGCGATTTTACAAATGTTTATAAATTCAGCTACGTCCGTTTTGCCCGTGCAAATAGGTATCATAGCAATTGCTTTATCTAAATCCATTTTACTCATTTTTTCTTAACTACTGATTCTAACTGCACGTGAATTACGCTTGAGTCGGACCTAGTACCTAAACGACCTACGGTTTGATCCTTTTTTCATGGTGTGATACCTATCTTTTCTGTTAAACTATGTGTTCTTACAATTTTTTCCTTAACAGTTTTTTCAGTTTTAACTAACTGTTTCCTAGTTCGTTCTAAAAATTCTTTCTTTACAGCGTCTTTTAAAATTACCGCTTTTAATTCTTTCTTAGGTTTATATTTTTTAACTTTTATTGAACTATCCGCAGAACTAGTGTCGATATCTGAACTATCGGATTCTGACATATATTTATCTAAACATTAGGTATATATAATTTTTATAAATTATATCTATTAAATTACTAATATCCTATCCGCGTCGGTAATTACCAATAGTATTTACTCTACATGTATATACTATTATTAATTATAAGCTATTAATACGTAATTACCATCACCAAAATTAATAATACGTACAAATTATTACTTATAAAATAACTAGCATGCACAAATAATTAAAAGAAATTACGTAAACGCGCGTCGTACGTTGAAAATGGATGAGTACCTATCTAATAACACGTAAAACGTTCAATCGCCTATGCTACGCGTGTTAAATTTCGATACGTTTTATCCCCTCACCCGTTCCGCTCGACCTGTTCCGCGATGTTTTATGCGTACGCGCTTGTACTACGCTCGAATATTATAAAAAACAATCCCCGGTTAGCTACTCAGTAAATCCCTCTAACAATATTCGACTTTCTATCCCTTATTTTTCTTATTACCTAGCGGTCTTGTTATTTTGTTGTTATTCAAAAACGAATAACTGTAAATACAAGAACATTTTAGATTCTGATTGGAGCGATGAATGTAGTGGTTTTACAATGATGAGTGTTTTTTATTTTTTATTTTTGAATTTTTGTGTCTGTATGACGTGATAAGTAGTCAAAATAATGATTTGATTTTCAACTTTAGTATATTGTTCGATTGGAAAGTGAAAATAGGTACTATTGAGAGGTAAAAATTTAAAATTCCCAATAGTTTTCAAAAGCATGTACACAGAAAAATAAAATATAAAATTAAGGAAAAACGAGCATTTGAAAATCGGTTTTTGACCAAATCGGTTTTTGTTTTTGGTGAAACTCTAGAACAAATGATCGTAAATATATGTAATTTTCACTGAATGTGCATGTCAGCCTTTTCTATACATGAAAACGTTTTCAAAATATTTTGACCTGTTTTCAGCTGTTTACAGACATTTTCTGTTTCTATTTTTTTTAGTTTTTTTT